AAGAGTCAAGGTGAGCGGACAGGAGCGGGAGGGTTGGGTCTGTCCCCTCCTGCCTTCCTGAGGAGCTGCTCACAGATACAATCTTCGAGCAAACCCTACCCCAGGGTCATTGCAGCCATGGAAGACCAGATTTCTGGGTGATTTGTGATTATAGTAAATCCTTTGAAAGCCTCTGGAGTGCTTGGGCAGGGTGAGGCTGCTGAAGGCAGGAAGGTGAAGGATCTCTAGTAGAAGATTTCTAGTGAAAGGTTCCCTGCTCATGTCAGGGAAGTTGGAACACAGAATGTCCATTCCTAACAAAACTATTCTGTGATTCTATGCTTCTGTATCTGAGAAGGGTGTTAGAGAACTGCCAGAACACATTTGTTCTCTTTGGAAAGCAATGACCAGGAGTCCAAAGGCCTCCAAAGCTGGAGAAACCCAGAGGGTGGCAGTAGAGAAATGAGTGTCTTGTGGGGTAGAGAAATGGCCAGATGCTTCTTTCTAAGAAAATCTGGTTTGTTTCCACTTTCTAGGAAGTGAATGGAAATACGTGATCCTGTCAACTGTACGCTCCTGTCCCCGGTCTGAGATTGATAGGAAGCCCACAAAGAGCTGGCAGAAGAAATACCTGGGGTTTATTACCGACCCAAACCAGGTCAATGTTGCCATCACACGAGCTCAGGAAGGACTCTGCATCATAGGTTGGTATCCTTGGACCATGCACAAGCCTTCAGGGGACTAGGATTCCTGGATAAAGGGATGGAGATTCAAACTAGTACAACCAGTGATCATGCTTTATTCTTCTGCCCTTTAGTCTGGGGTTTTGAAACTGGGGAATCTGGGCAAAGCAGGGTTCATTCACAGCTTGAATACAGCAAGTATAGTTTTTCTCACCCTTTGTTTTGAACCACATTGTTTCTGTTACTTTCATGCTAGAACTCTGTCCTAACAAAAATCTGGCTGCTCATTTTGCTCCTAATCACCAAGGTGTAGGCTGTGATGTGTAGGGAAGCTGCTCACAGATATGACAGCATGGAAAAGGGAGCTGGGACTTCAGATATGTCCCTGGAAGTGACCCAGCCCACTTAGCTAGAGATTATGGACAAAAATTGTATTAGCCAAGCCTCTTCTAGCCACTAACCTGCTGTCCCCATCCTGCTGCCCACAGGGAACCGGTACCTCCTGGAGTGCAACCCTTTGTGGAAGAGACTGCTCCAGCATTACTACCGCCACAACAGCTGCACTACAGCGCAGGAGATCCGTGTCAGGAGGACCCCAGCCCACTCCCGGTGAGGATGGGCCCTCTCTGCCTGAACTGCATTATGTGTGCCTTGGGAAGGACCAAATCTTTCCATTATTCAATGACCTACGGAGCCAAATGCAGCGGGGGATCTGGGAGCTTCCTGCACCATGACAACTCAGCTTCAGCATCTGCTTCAGCATCTTGAGGTGTTTTTAATCAGTGCAATCTTGGGCAGGAGCTTTCAATTCTAGCAAACCAAAAAGGCATTGGAGATAGATGATGGGCATGTGACTTTACTGATGATGATACTATTTTTGTAACTGTAAGTTGCTCAGCAGAACCCTCATCCTACTGCAGCTGCAGTTTGGGGGGACCAAATATTTACTCCAGCTGTCAGGGTTGCACTTTGGGGATCAAATGCTCAGTCTGTTCATCGGGGTGGAACGACTGCATGCAGCGGAGCAGCGCAGCAAGATGCTGTTTGCCATGGAGGACCAAAGCTTCTGAGTACTGCCTCTCATTTTAAATCCAAGGACAGGAGATTTTTAAGACTTCTTTTTACTTTTTTTTCTTTTTTTTTTTTTTTTAAGTGAAGGAGAAAAGCAATGAGAGATGCATGCACCACTCTTTGTCTAGCCAAAATTATGTTCTCTGAGCGTGTAAATATCGCAGTGGCAAGGCCAAGGTGATTTTGTAAATAGATTTACATGTTCTTTGTACAAAGGAGATTGTCCTCACCAGCATAAAGGCAATGAAAAGCGGGGACCTCCCCTACCAGGAAACGTTGGGATTTGTCAGCCCATTTTAAACTGTTCAGAATTTTATTTGAAATCTCCTGTTGATCCCCCCTCCCTTTCCTACCCCACTTTTTTTAAAGCTGCTTTTAATTTATTAACTTTTAACTCTGTGAATTTGTTTCACAGCCTTATGGCCTGAGTTTTTAAGAGCAGTGAAGGAGTGTATGTGTATAATGTATTTTTATATTTTCTGTAGCCAAACTGCTGTGAGCTGGAAGCTGTGGTTCACCAGAGAGGCTGCTTTCACCCAGTGACATGTGGCTGGTAGAGATGTATTGTGGTGAATGGTGCCCTCTGAAAATCATGAAGCTGCTTTTGGAAGCATGACAGTTTTGAGGGAGGGTGTCTTTTATCTCATTTCAATTCTGAATGTATGAAGTGCCTGCCTCAGCTCTCCCCAAACCACATACTTGGCAGTCCTTAGGTGTTCATGTGGGATGGAGCTGAGATGCAATCACACAAGTTTTCCTTGTGGTGTGGATCCCTGTGATGTCACAGCGATATGGCAGGAGGAATTTTGTCCTGTTTGTAACTGAAATCCAGCGTGGCTCTTTCCCGTGTGGAAGAATGGCAATAGAAAAGCATTGTGTCTGGAAAAGTCTTGATTTAACTCTGTGTTTCTTCTCATGACCCTGTGTTAGACTTGCCTCCAGAACCTATGGAGAGGTTGTGTTGTTCTCTTCCTAGTTTAATCCACCTTCCTGCAGTCTGCCTTTGGGGGGTTTGAGCTGCATGCCAAAGACCACCCAGGCTTGCTCTTGTCCTGCTGAAGCATAATAGTGGGCATATGGCTAGCAATTCCATGAAGGATAAAAACCCATAGGAAGTATCTCCTGCTGGTTCTAAAGATGCTTGGTAAAAGCTGGTAAGGTGTAAAATTAATTGTTCCTCTTTGAAGTCATCCTGTGTGGGATCTTAAAAGATTCTGCACCAGCCTGATTAGCAAATATTATTGCAATTCCAAAATAAGATTGTCTGTGGATCATTCTGTGGACAGTGGAAATTAAATCATCTAGCTCCAAAGATGCTATGGAGAATTGCAAAAAATGCTGGAATTGTTGGGATAACTACTTCAGCATCGTGCCAGCTTCATTTAACAAACCACCTTGGTTCCTTTCGAACTAGTGGGTCTCATTTTCATTATCTCCTTCAAGTGAAGAGTTTCTCCCCTGGGTTTTGTGCTGGTTATTTCATACATGTAACACAAACAAGGAGACTCACCCCTGATGTAGTGGCTCAGTCAGTGCTCTTGAAGGGGATTTGGCCAAGAGAGAGTCCTCATAAAGAAACTCCCTTTGTCCTTAGTGGGAAAAAAATGTTTATTTCTACTCCATAGAGGTCTGTGTTGCAAGTCAATATACATGTTAATTTTTTTTTCCTCTGAGGATGTATTTTATAACTGGTGATTAGGAAATGCACCCAAGCAGCAGTTACAGCCAGGCTGGGCCCTCAGGCTGCTGGTGCTGTCAGCAGGTTCCTGGAGAGCTGGTCATGCAATAGTCAGGGATAGCAGAAAGTGCAATTAAACTTTTTATAGACTGTAGCTGAGTATCATGTTCTTGTCCTTATGCTTATGGAATGAATCATAGAAATCAATAGAGGAAAAAAAGTTCAAATTAGTCTGGTTTCATTTGCATGCAGAGTTTTGAATTTACTTTTGGAAGAATTTTATGTTCGAGCAATATTCTTAAAATACCAAACTTTTGGTAATCCCAGTAGGAACACCCTGGCAGCGTGGTGCCCAGGGCATCTGTCCACTCACAGGCTCTGTGTTCTCCACACTCAAAGACAAAAGCACATGGCTGCAGGACACAAATGTCAGTTCATCCAACAGCATTAACTTAATTTCCTCGGCACTAGCTAGAGCTTGAGCACAAATTGAACAAGGGGAACCTGTGCAGGCAGCAGTGGTGAGCCCAGCATCAGGCAGGCTGGACTGTTTTTGAGGATTTGGACAGATCTGTGTAGGACAATCAATTTACTGCAATAAATCGGTGGGGTTTTTAAAAATAGAAATGAAATGTCAAGTGTCATGAAGTCTGAATTAAGGAACTTGAAATGGAGCAGGTTTTTATCTTTTGTATGTCTGTGACTCGCAGCAAACCTCAAATGACCTTTTGGATACCAATATTTTTATCTGCTTTGACTGTTCATAAGAATGAATCTCAACATTCCTTTTTTGATATTTAAGCCATAATTGTAAAAATTATTTGAATTTATTTAAATAATAAATTTTATTACTAAAAGGTCTGTTTATGTGATGGTTTGATTAGAATCTGTGTGGGGACAGCTCTGTTTGGACTGAATGAAATGGTAAAAAAGAAAATTAACATTAACTGCAGGTTTTTGGCAGAAAATAATTTTTTACATATTGATGTATTACCCTTCCCTTTTTGTTGGGAGGCTTGGGGATTTATTGCTGGGTTTTCGTTGGTGGTTTTTTGGTTTTTTTTTATTAAAGTGATCTTTTCCTGCAATATAGAGGGTGAAGTCATGCTTAGGTATCTATATGGCACAGGGTGTAGAGGGTGTGAGAAACCAGTGATGGACGTAAGTCTGGGTGGGTGATTTGAAGAGCTTGAGAGTTCATTTCAGCTATTTTGGAGGAAGGACAATACAAACCCACAACATCATTGGAAGAAGCTGACACTGAGCATCCTGCAGTGGATGGAAAGCACTGGATGGTAGAGATGCTTCTGTCTCTTGTGCTCTGCTTCAGAGGTGTCCTGCAAGATTTTCTGGTTCTGGCTGCTCCCACCATTGCCTCTGGCAGTGGGACAAAACTGTTGAGTCCCAAATGCTGCCTAAAGATGTTTTTTGAGAGAAATTTCAAATGGGTTACTGCTAACCTGGAGAGATTTTGGGACAGCCTCAGGCCTCTGTACAATCGCTGTTAAAAACAGAACAAGTTTGATTTAAAGCAAACTGTTTAAACAATTTATTTTTAATTACTCTTATTCATCTTTTTCATTAAACCATTAAACTGAGGGAGTCGGTCTTGTGAGCCGCCTCATCAGGCTGCGGTTGGGGGCTTCCTTGGCGTCTTCAGCAGGGTGAGTTTTTGTCTTCAATATAATGCAGTCGTGCCACTGCGAGTAGACGAGCGTGTGAGTGTCGGATCTCCTCACTTTGAACTCATACAACCTGCCAGGCAGCAGGTGGTTGATTACACACGGGTTGGAGATGACTTCCTGGGTCCGGCCGTATCCTGGTTCTGTCTGACTGTCATCTGTCACCAGCTTGATCTCCAGCTGCCATCGTTCCAGGTGTGACTCCTGACTTTCAGTGAACCACTTGAGCTGGGCCCAGGTCTGGCACGCGAACGACTCTATCCGATCAAAAATCGGCGGCTTCTTGGTGTAGAGGGAAAAAGTAATGGGAGGGTGTAGAGCACCTCCGAGATGTATCTGTGACACCAAACTGTGCTTGACATGCAGCTTCCTTGGCTCTTCCAAGGAAATGAGCTTATTGAAAAACATGGAGAGCTTGAGCACTCTCTTTATATTCAAGTCCCACTGGGAGAGGAAAGCTTCTACGTCACAGATCTGTACGTAACGGCTCAGCTCCTCCCGACCTCGTTCCAGCTGTTCCAACAGCTCAGTTAAAAGTGCCAGCTGGATTTCAGTCTGTTTTTTCCCCACCTTCTTGATCTTCTGGAGTTGGCAGGGGTTTGCTATTTGCAAGATGTCAGCAAAAATCATCATATTGTTCTGGTCTCTCACGCACACGTGTCTGGGCTCAAACTTCAAGTAAAAGTAACACTTCTTCAGAAGATGAACTTTGTTCCAGTGGTACTGGAGGTGGTGTGGGTTCAGGTCAGAGCGCAGGAAATCCAGAACAAGGTTTTTGTTTCTCAGGTACTGCTTCATGCTGGCATTGTCGTCCTGTTCTTCTCTGGGTGGGGTACTGTCCGGAGTGGTTTCAGTCTCATGCAAAACCTTAGCCATGTTTCCAAAGCTTGGGTGCTGTATAGGAAAGCAACAATAATAACATTAAGAACCAAAGGAAAAGCAGATGTGAAGGGAGTACAATAATGGCTATGACTCTTCTCTCTTAATTAAAGCTTAGCTTATAAAGAACTGTCAGACTAGATGTAGTTCCAGAGGAATTTTCCTTTATACTTGTCTGGTGTCTAATGTTTTATATCCTCTACTTACATGTGTTCCAACTGGTCTCCCTCTACCTGCCCTTGAGAGGTTCTACCTCTGCTTAATAGATTCACTGACAGGAACTATTCTCTGATACACTCTGCCAAAATTTCTCCCTATCTTATTATCTTGTTTCATTCTAATTAGCTGTCTTTGTACTCCTGTAAGCAATTTCTTTCCATTCTTCTGCCTCTCTAGAGATGCCTATTTTTCTCTCTTTGTAATCTGCCAGGCTGTTGAGGTTTGAGGCCCATCTTCTCAGCCAGTTCCTACAGCTACATAATCACATTGGTGATTCAAATTAACCCTCTGCCCCCACACGAGCTGGAATGTAGCAGGCAGAACAACACAATCCACCGAGTGCCACCTCACGACAGCTTCCAAGAGGAATGACAGCATAGGAATGACGCTTCTACCTTCACCAGTGGATTGACAGTCATAACCTGACACTGTTTTCTGTGATGTGCTGCTTTCCCTATCTTTGGGTTTAGTTTGAATCATCTCAGACCATAAGGTCTACTTGGATTTTCTGCAATGTACAGCGAGAGGATGACACACATGCAAAGCACCTCTAAACAGGTAACAGTCTGCTGTGGGGGTGTTTAGGCACAGCTAAACTCTGCTGGCTTAATCTTAGCTGTTTACAGGGGTCTGGAGTGACAGGACAAGGGGGAATGGCCTCAGACTGACAGAGGGCAGGGTTAGATTAGATATTGGGAAGAAATTCTTACTTGTGAGGGTGGTGAGGCACTGGCACAGACTGCCCAGAGAAGCTGTGGCTGCCCCATCCCTGGAAGTGTTCCAAGTCAGGTTGGATGGGGCTTGGAGCAACCTGGGATAGTGGAAGGTGTCCCTGCACATGGCAGGGCATTGGAATGAAATGAGTTCAAGGTCCTTTCCAACTCAAACCATTCTGGGATGATTTTATACTTCATTTACTGGCAAAGATGTGTCCTGGGTGATGGTGCCATCTGTGCCAAGGTGGAAGGTGTTTCTGTGTTGTGCTTTAGCTGAAGTGCCTGTGGCTCACACAGCTTATGTACCACAAACAGCAATTAGCTAAATAAATGCCTGTGTCCTGCTGTCAGTGATACTGTAATGAAAACCCAGATGGATATTTAGGTGGCTTTCACAAGCTGAATACACTTGATTTGAAAACAAAATAAATACAGTATTCTGAAACCAAGATCTAATTGGGATATCTTAATTCTTACATGCCCTGTAGAAGCTAGATGGTGAGATCTACTTAACAAAGCCATTTTTCTTGGCCTCATTTTCCCTAAATTCATAACAGACTAATAACACTTCCTCATAGGAATTCCAAGCATTTGTAAACCTTTCAGCTGTCTGGCCCTGAGCTGCACCACAGCTTATATAGTAAGTCATTCATTTGCAACTTTATCTTCCAAGAGAGCTGTCAACTGAAGAAAAACAAGCTGTATTTCCTTTTCACTTTTTTCTTTCCACAAAAAAACCCGACCTAAACCAAAGCAATGCCAGCTCCCCGCATCGTGTATGAAGCAGCAGGACCAGCACATGTGCCAGGTGACATTCCCCACTCTCGGAGGGATTTGGCTCTGCCGAGCAATGTGTTTGCCCACAGACTGAGCTGTCATTGTGCTTATTTTCCCTTGCTTCTCCCCATGTTTTTACATCCCTATTTTTTCCCTCCTGCCAGGGAGGGCTGGCTGTATTCCCTGCGCTGCTGCTCTGTTTGCAGCCGGGAGGAGCGGCACCACCCAAGGAGGGTGCTGTGAGGGCTCTGTGTTCAGCCAGGCCGGGCTCTGGGGAGGTCGCAGGGGCACACAGGGGCTGCCCCCTCGGGGTCCGGCCCACCTTGTCACACCCCGGGAGCCGTGTCCAGGTGCTGTTCACACCCCGGGAGCCGTGTCCAGGTGCTCTGGGCCCGGCGCGGCCCGGCCGGATCCACCCGCGGCCCGGTCCGGCCCGGCCCGCAGGACGCGGCCGTTGCCACGGCGACCCCTGGGCCTGGGGAGCTGCGGCCGAAAATGGAATCGTTACCCCCTGGAATCGTTCATACCCTCCCCTCCGTAATTCACGGAATCGTTTGGCTTGGAAAGACCTTAGAGCTCATCCCGTTCCACGCCCCAGCCGTGGGTAGCGATGGCGGTAAATCCCACTAACCTCCTTCCCAGCCGCTTTCCCCCTCCCCGCCCCGTCCCTCGCACCTTCGGAGGCTTCAGGCTCGGTGACACCGGGCGTCGTGGGGAGAGCGGGTCTGCTCTGCCCGTGCTACCAGACGTGCCTGCGGCGTCTGCGGAGCGGTGACACGGCGGTGACACGGGGCAGCACCGCGGCGCTCGCTGCCCGCCGCTGCATCACAATGGCGTGGTGGAACCAGGGAAGCTGGAACGCAGCTTGATGGAACCGTGAAATCACAGCTTCGCAGGATGGCTTGGGCTGGAAGGTCACCTTGTTCCACCCCCCTGCCGTGGGCAGGGACACCTTCCACTAGACCAGGGTGCTCCAAGCCCTGTCCAACCTGGCCTTGGGCACTTACAGGGATGGAGCAGCCGCAGCTTCTCTGGGCAGCCTGTGCCAGGGCCTGCCCACCCTCACAGGGAAGACTTTCTTCCTAATACCCCATCTAAATCTCAGATAAAGCCCTCTGGGATTTATGGCATTGCTGCAAATGGGGGCTTTTTGCAGGAGAATCTTGCAAAGTCCATCTGAGGCCAGACACCAGCGCTTCGCTCTCCACAGTGAGACTGAGGCTGTTTCACAGTGTCAAGAGTTTTGTTAAACACATAATCCTTAGGAAAGAGCTGTGTTGAAATAGGATATAAAATGCTCCATTAAGTGCAGCGAACTTCCTTCTGGGAAGGAAGGGGTTTTGCTGCTCTGTTTCCTATGGGACCTGGCTGCCGGGTTAGCTGTGCTGCTGTGGAGAAGAGAGTGACTTGTCTGGTTCAAGGTGGCAAGCTCCATACCACAACTGCTGAACTCATCAGCAAACTGGTCAAGCCTCTGGGGCTGCAGGTGCCTTCATACTCCCTGTTATTAAATCTTTGGGTCAGGGCTTAGCTTTAATGCTGTCTGGTGTGCTCAGCTGGACCATCTCTGCTAAGCTTTTTTAATTGAATGACAGGCAGGATTCATAACGCCAGCCCTGGGCTCCTGCTTGAACATCAAGGGAGGAGGTGATGTGTCATTTTAAGAAATCAATGCATCTTCTCAAGGCAGCCAGAGCTTACCATTTCATTTCACAGCTGCCAAGAGATTAACTATACAACTGTCAGGTGTGATCCTCTAACAGACAAGGGAGATAACAAATATGAGTGAAAGCAGGTTGGTAGCCTTGTTTGGAGAGGAGGGCCAGCACAGATTAGTATTTGATAATTACACAAAGTTTCTGTGGGAAACAAATATTCATGCTCATGTCATGGGTCTCAGCCCTGTTGTTTGGATGGTGTGTGCTGGGAAATGGAGCTGTCCTTTCCAACCAGCCTTGGTGCTCTGAGGGTGTGAGAAGAGTCCTGTGGAGATCCAGCTTACCCTGACTCCTGTTGCAGCTGGACCCTGTGCCAGATGCCCAAGGAGGAATCATGGAAGCATACAATCACAGGGTGGCTTGGTCTGGAAGGGGTCTTAGTGCTCACCTTGTTCCACCTGAGCACAGCACGGTGCATGTTTGAAATGGGCTGTATGGCTGGAGAAGGCTTGCACTGAGAGACTTGCACTGAGCTTGCTTGTCCTTCTATTGCCAAAAATACTAACCTGAATCCCAACATTAGCGTGGAAAAAGGGAATCCCTTTGGCTGTCCTTACCTTGAGCTGCTGGCCAAGCTGTTTTCTTGGTTTTAGGGATGGGAGAGTAAACCTGCTTAGAGTCTACAGCTGAAATTTTAGTTTTTTCCATCCCTTTGCAACAGGGATCAATTCAACTATAGGATTTTATAGCATTCTATGAATCTCTTTGAATTAATACACATACAAATGTGTTTGAAGCCTCCAACACCATGTAACCCTTTGCTCCCCTCATCAGCTGAGCTGTCTCTGTGATAGAACTGACAGCCACTGTCACCCTTTTTGTCACTCTGCCTGTCTTGTCCACAGCATCAAAATAAAGAACTTGTTAGTCCTGTCTGAGATCAAGATATAAGCAGACAATTGATTTTTCTCCTTCTTTTCATTAGTGAGTTCTGACACTTAATAAAACATACATTTCCACACTCAGGGTAAGCAAAACATCCAGATAGTGCCTGTCAGAGAAGGCTGGGAGCAAGGATTAATCTTTATGGAAAATCAATAGCTGGAACAGAAAAATTGGCAGAACCCAAATTAAAAGTCGCTGGCAATTTCTGTCTTCATATTTCACATCTGCATTTCTGAAAAAGAGATTTGCTGTAAAGGTAACAACCACAGAGGCAGGGAGGAGGGTGGACTTTGTGCCTGGTTCCTCTTCTGCTGTTTCCAGGTGGTACCTGGCAGGTGGAGGCGGGTGCCAGGTTTGGAGCAGCTCTTTGGGCAGCACCTGGTTCAATGTGATCCCTGTTCCAGGACAGAGGGCTGTGCAACACTGACCTTTCTGCTAGAGGTTGTGTCCCAATGGCAGCACTGTCATTAAATCTCCCAACATCACCTCCTCCAGGGTGCCTGAGTTATCCCTGCTGCCCCAGATTTTACCCATCCTCCATGATATTCACCTGGCTGCGTGCAAGCAGGATTTTCAGAGCAACATAAAGGCTGCAGCCCCCATCATCACAAGGGTATGACTGATTTACTCACTGCTTGCTCCCAGTTTCACTGGTGCCTCAGATACCTGAAATAAATTATAC